GTACTTTTGAAACGTCAACAAATACAAAATAAATAATAGTCTGTCAGTCAGTCCGTCAGTGAAGCTAGGTGAAGCTAGGTGCTCATTCCAAAACGTAGATTCGAATGGAGAAGAACGAGCAAGAAACTCGATTCGTTACTCTTTTAAAAAAGTATGTTCTACAATGTCTCTGATACATATTTCAATACTGTACGCATATGTAAGAATAATGCAAACTTAACTTTGGGTCATCATCAGATGACCTGCAAAATAATAAAAGTAAATTGCTTGTTATTAGTTTATAATATTTATATGTTTTTTTTAGTGAGAGACTATGGTTGAATATGAGAAGAATGGTTTCATCGCAACAAGGCGTTTTGCTGATGAGTTGAGTGAGAGAACATCAGCACGCACCGTTCGCCGCAGTCTCCGAACGCCAGCTAAAAAACCGTTTGTCACGCAACGGCATAAAGAGGAGAGGGGGATGGACTTTGAGAATAGTGAATATGTCGGCGTGGATATGTGCTCAAGGGCCTGAAGAGTTAAGTTTTATTTCAACGTGAGCCAACAGTGTTAACAACAAAGTGAAAACCATAGTTTTTTCTTCTTCTCCTCTTATAATATCTTCTGATTCACTTCGTTGCGGGAACCAAGACAGTTACTCATGTCCCTGGGACGCGCCGGACTTCAGTGTTCCGGTGTTTTCATGGTTGTATCTCCTGTAGATCCTGGCTTACAGGAGTTGCAGCGGTTTTGGGAGGTCGTGGCGGGCTTGTCCCATTAAAGAAGAAGTGTTAACAATGTGGAAGTGTTGAACGATGTTACTAGTATCTTGCCTACAAATATGTCTACCCTGCAGAAGACGTAAGCGAGATAAGTTTTGTGCAAGACAACTGTCCCATTTACTGTGCCGGTATTGTTCGTGTATGGTTTAGCAATCATCTTGAAATAAAAATTATTTCTTGGCCAGCTCGGTTCCCTGACTTAAGCCCTTTAGAAGTAACAAATATTAAAAATCCTCAAGAGGTTGGGTAGATAATTCTATGTCGGCAGACATAGCGGCTGTAACTTTAACAAATTAGTATTTTATTAGACTGAGGTTAAGTTTCAATCCTCTTTTCATTGAGAAAATGAATAATTAAGCTATAGCCTCAGATCTTTCATTATGTCTAGACTTATGTAAACTAAAATTCATTTTTATTATAATAACATGAGTGTAAATGATTTCTTTTATGTAAAATATATTACAATATTACCTTAAGTTCAAAATTTGTTTCATTTATTATCATAGGTATAACAATAGATTACCTTTATAATACATTTATTGTAATGTCTATTTGTTCAAAGCAATTTAGTAAAAATAAATTACTAAAATTTACAAGTAGATAATGGTTATATGTAAAATATAAAATAAATAAAATCTATGTATCTTTCTTACACTTTATATACTGATGCTTATATACTTATTATTTATATTAGGTATATAAAGCCCAACCTTAGATTCGAACTCACACCTATCCCTATTTTGTATGTCCTTTGTTTTCTGTAAAATAAAATCAGACTACAAGAAGAAGAAGTAAACAAGTTTGTAAATAAAACAGTATTATTATCTATTTACAAATAAGTCGTTTCATATCCAATAAATAAGCAAACATGTAAACAATAGTAGGTATACAAATTGAAAAGATTGATTGATTGAAAAGGATGCAATGATTGATACAGAAAAGTTTAACTTTCATAACCTATAACTATTTAGCTAAATTTAATTAGACCAAAGTGAATAGTGAAGTGAATCTCAACATCTTAAATGGAAAGAAATTTGAACAATTTCTAACAGCTTAAAAATAACATCACTTCACCGTATATAATTATATATCTAGTAGTGGACAAAAAGCGCATTGCCATAACATTATTAATCAAATATTACTTAAGTTTTTTTCAGATTGATTAACAATTATGAATGTTATCTCTGTATAAATAAGGTTTATTTTATTTTGTCTATACTTCATAACCGGATCAAATAAAATTGTTGTTCGAGAGTTTAGTAGTTACCTCGAACATTGTAAACTTTATACCCAGGTATTGAAAAAATAAAAAAATTGTATTAAATAATGTTTGCAAAATATTTAATAAACTCAAAAACAACAGTGTCTATGCTGGGATCGAACCTGCGACCTGTAATCTTTATTCTCATGCGATAACCTTTTCGCCAAGCTTGCTTCTACAAAGCGTTGTGAATTTGTGAAATATTTGATGTCATTCAAAACTATATTGTATTTATTGGGTATGATTATGTAGTATGTAGCTCGATCGTTCATTATTCGATTTATTATCTTGACCCTCATTTTTATTTACCTACACTTATTTACTGAATTAATACGTATACCGTCACTAAGATAGGTAATATTGAATACCAATGTGTGCGTGATGCACTATCATCGTGCGGTAGTTCATAGCAATGTGATCTTTAGCGGTCTTGTGGACTTTTGTAACCAGACTGTACCACAGACAAATCGTGAGGAAACCCGGGCTTAAAATTTGTAATTATGCGTTTGAAATCGCCAACCCGCAGTGAGCAAGCGTTGCAATTAACACTCAAACCTTCTCCGTGTGAGAAGAGGCCTATGGTGAGCAGGAGCCACTTATAGGCTGATGATGATGACGATGATGTGGGCAACAGCGCTCTTTGATGAATCTGAACTTTTTGAACTATGGTCTCCAGCCTGCCTGCCTAACGTGAAGATTACTACAAGGCCTCTTCTACCTCTATAGAAAAGGTCCATACTCCAGCAGTGGAATCTCATGATCATGACGATGATCAAAGAAGTATAATTTAAATGAACAAAATTACTAAATTATAAAATGTTGACTCACACGAGGGCCCCAAGAAAGCGACGAGGAGAACGACGAATGCTTTGCTCAGGAACATGTTTGCTCTCGACGGCGACTGTGTTCTGAAGAGCTTCGGGTTCGATTAATATGGCGGTGACATGCCTACTATTGAAACAACAACAAGATAGTTCGACCTCGACGGAATTTCCAAAGTATGAACGATAACTGCAGTATGAATGTTAACTTATTTAATACTAGCTTCTGCCAACGGCTTCGCCCGCGTTCCCAGGAGCAAACAGTAGCCTGTGTGTTACTTCAGACCATATTCTACCTCTGTTCCAAATTTATGCCTCGTTGGCCGAGTGGTCGCTAGTGCGACTGCCGGGCAAGGGGTCTCGGGTTCGATTCCCGTGTCGGGCAAAGTATTACTGAGTTCTAAAAAAATTCTCAGTAGTTGCACGGAGTCTGGAATTGTGCCCGGTATATGGCAATAGGCTCACCCCCTATTACATGGGACTCATAGCATAAATAGTGAAAAGTGGGTGTTACTCCTGTGTGCACCTCTGCCTACCCCTTCGGGGATAAAAGGCGTGAGGTTATCTTATGTTATGTTCCAAATTTCATCCCAGTCCCTTCACACACACATAAACCCCTGTATCCTCAAAGAAGCAAGCTCGGCTCTAGTGCAGGCTATAGTGCGGGGGGTGGGGAAGTAGGCAACCGTGTTCGCCTTCTGCGAAGCAGTCATGATAGCTAAGGAGGAGCGGGAGCGCATAAGGAAACGGAGTTCCCCATATCGTGACTGTGGTGACGTTCTAGGTACAGCATAACCGAAGGTCTGCGGATTTTTACCCTGTTACCTTGAGAATAGCAGAATGCACCATACCACCATACAAACTTCCACCCCATATTTGAAGTGTGAAGATAGTGGAAGGGATAAATTAAAAAGAGACGAAAAGTAACCTATGTCACCACTCTCCATCCGTTCATCTATCTCAACTTAAAATAATCACGTCAATTCGTCTTTCTGTTTTGCGGTGAGAGACGGACAAACAAACAAACAGACACTCACTCTCACATTTATACTGTAGTATGGAAGTGTTGATGACCAATTGGATTTTCGCTAGTCTTATTGTTATCAGCACTATGTCAGTTTTGAATTATATAAATAAAGTTTACTTATCTCTCGACCATACAGTATTTATTTATTACTAGCTTTTACCCGCGGCTTCGCTCGCGTCACAAAAGGATAAAAGTAGCCTATGTGACATATACCAATACACACGGCGCCATCCATACCAATACTTTTGTTTTCCCTCGGGAATATTAATTTTTCCGGGATAAAAAGGACCCTATTATTTAATCCGGACTTCTAACTTTACTTCTGCAAAAAATCAAAGCAATTGGTTAAGTAGTTACGGCGTGAAAGCTGAACAAACAAACAAACTCACTTTCCGATTTACAATATTAGTAAGGATAAGGATTAGGTATAGGGTGAAACTTAACTTCTGTATATGTCGCAGGTGAATTGTATAATCTGCCGAATTACATTACGGCTAGCCGTTCAGCAAAAAAAATTTTAGCATTATGTCATTTCGACAGCACTATCAGTGTCATCACCCTCGAAAACCATGAAAACGACACCCATGACGAAAAGTTGAAAATTTGTTGCAGCTGCCATCTAGGATTTATATTCGGACAATACCATCGGTTTTACCACCCCTGGAAACCACGAAAACGACACCCATCAGTCCCATGACAAATAAGTAAATGTAAAAAAAGTACAGCCGCCATCTTGTATTTACATTTTGACAGCACAACTATGTTGATAATTTTGTATAGCCGCCATATTGGAATAACGTTTCATTTTAAGACTATACAATATGATGATGACCACTCAGACCATCCATTGTAAAATAATGACAATGAGGCTAAACGTGTGCCGTCATATTGTAGAACGTTTTGCATTGACAACACGACTAATCGAGCAGTCGCCGTATCACAAAACGGCCCTGCTGTTATAAATGGCTAGCCGTACTGTAATACGGCGGATGATACAATTCGCCTGCGACATATACATAGTATTAAAAACTTAGATAACAATAGGTATTAGGCTTATTCATTCGCCAATTATAGGTTAACTAACTTTATAATTGAGTGATAAGAGTCTATAGAAACGAACATGCATAAATAATTTTGATAAATTAAAAAATATAAAGTAGTCAATGTATGTATGAGTCTGGGTATTTGTGTGTTTGTAAAGTCACCGATATAGTCCAGCAGATTACCGCACGGTTGGCACAGTGGCTGAGTAATCGGCTGTTGAGCATCGTGTCGCGGGTTCAGCAAGTTTTCTGACTAAAATGACCATTATTAGCCCGGAGTCAGGAAGTTTGGTGGTGTTTCCACCTCCACTTCCATCCCCCAGAAAGCACGTATCGCTGTTGCGCCTGATCTCCAATCGTGTCGGTCTGCCGTCCCATCGCGATCAGAGAGTGAGGGAACTGAGAGTGCACATGGGTTTGCGCACACACTTGTGCACTATAATATCTCCTGCGTAGTGGACTAATCAGACAAGGAAGCTCATTATCAGCGCTATGCTAGCCAAGCTATGTGGCATGCCAACTGCCCACATAGCTTACAAGATAACCGACAGCTGCTGGTGCAGTAAGGTTCTCAAGTGGAGGCCACATACCGGCAAGTTTAGCGCAAGACATCCACCATCAAAGTTGACAAACGACCAGATTCAAAGACCCAGGGAGCTGCTGGATGCAGGTCGCTCCCAAACGGCCTCCCTGGAGGAGGACTACGTTCAGCAGTGGACGTCCTATGGCCGATATGATGATGATGACATTCCTTTCAACGACTTTAAATTTAACGCGAGCGAAACCGCGGGCAAAAGCTGGTTATAATTTTATATATTTTATAGAGAATATTGGGGCTTGTCCTTATAAGTTAAATAAAAATAATTTCAGGTCCAGTAAAGTCAATGTTTACAATCAAGAGACTGCCTCGTCGGCCGAGTGGTCGCAAGTGTGACTGCCGGGCAAGGGGTCTCGGGTTAAATTCGCATTTTAAAAATTCCCAGTAGTAGCATAGAGTCTGGAATTGTGCCCGGTATATTACAATAGGCCCACCCCCTATTACATGGGACTCATAACATAAATAGTGAAAAGTGGGTGTTACATTGTACAGTGGCATAATTTACACCTCTGCCTAACTCTTCGGGTATAAAAGGCGTGTTGTTATGATGATGAGTATCTTCTTAGAGGAGTGCCGTGGTCATATGCCATATCACGTATTGTAAAACAATGTGCATACGAACACGGCTATACGGTAATTGGGCCTCCGGTAACCTCACTCACACGACGAAACACAGCGTTAGCGTTGTTTGACTATGGTTTTATGCTCGGCCGTGGTATCACTCCGGTCGATGCTGGCCCATTCGTGCCGAAGCATGGCTCTCCCACACTTAAATATTGCATTAATACATATTTTTTAACGTAATACATATAGTTTTAGTGTCGTAGTTGTAATGTCGTGGTGGCCCGGAGGTTTAAGACGCCCACTTCTCATGCATGAGGGTGCGGGTTCGAAACCTACCAACGGCAAGTACCAATGTGACTTTTTCCGAGTTATATGTACTTTCTAAGATTATTTAGACACCACTAACAAACGGTGAAGGAAAAACATCGTGAGGAAACCTGGACTTATAATTTCTAATTATAAGTTTGAAATCGCCAACCCGCATTGAGCAAGCGTGGTGATTAACGCTCTAACCTTCTCCGTCTGAGAAGAGGCTTTACTCAGCAGTGGGCATTTATAGGCTGTTGATGATATAGTTTTAGTAACTTTGAGGAGATAATAAGCCTAGCCCACTACTAGTTTTCTATTTATGTTGTTTATATGAACAATATGGCGGTATCTATGTAAGTGTACATGGAAATAATTCTTTAGGTAATTGTCGATTTTTCTGGTTTAGGTTGGTATTCGTAATGTGTACATGTTTGATCTCAATTGATTTATGTGTTTAAATTTATGATAACATTAAACTTTTTTAATTTAGATAAATCAAACAAAACTGTGTGTGTGCTCCCGTACTATCCTACAAACATGCATACATAACTTCACGCCTGTCTCCCATAGGGGTAGGCAGAGACTATGGAACGCCAATTACTACGTACTACGATTCATACATACCTCTTTCGCTTCAGCAACAGTCATCTTTTCATGCATGCTCGTCGGTCAAGGGCACTTTTAATTTGGCCCTTCTTTAATATATCGCCAATCTGGTCAGTATATGAACGTCTAAGGCGCCCTCTACCGACGGCCCTATTAATATCCGCACTGTATACTTCTTTCGTTACTCTACTTTCATCCATCCTTTCTACATGTCCAAACCAGCGTAACATTCCCTTTTCAATTCTTGTCACTACATCATCTTCCAATCCACACCTTTCTCTAATAACAAACATACACTACATATTACATATAATAATATACCTCCTTTTGGCTTCTCCGTAGTCGGGTAACAAATCAATGGTAGTCAATCCTGCTTGGAAGGGGAATAGGAGAAAAAATAAATTTAATAAAACAAGTGTTTATCAATAGAATATTATTCTTACTTTTTAATTCTTACGTTCTTTCAGAGGGTTTTGTCCCATCACATCCATAGCGGTGTTCTGAAGCCAAATGTCCAGATCCGTCTGAGCGGAGGTCTCTGAGAATCTTGATTTTGAGACTAAACATAAATCACTTGTGGTTACTGTGGGTAAAATAGTGGTTGTAGTCGGTACATCACTTGTGGTTGCTGTGTGTGGTTGCTGTGGGGAGTATGGTTGTGGAAGTTGGTACAATTGTGGCAACGGACTCGCAGAAACAAATCCGTCTCCTGGAAAACCTGTAGGAGAAACATAGATTTTAAACTGTCAAACACCAAGCGGTCACCGGTGACCGCAACCTATTGTTCTATAATTGTGTCTATAATGACGGTACTCGACGAGTTAATGTCAGGAATATGAAATCCTTATTGGCCCCATCGGCCGAGTGGTCGCA